TCAATCTAAATTTAAGAGAACATATTTTTTTTTTTTTTTTTGAGAAGAAGACAAAAAAGAAAAGAAAGAGAGAGAGAGAAGAAATTACATGAATAAAGGAGCACTAATGATCACCAAATAAAAACAGTGTCACCTAGACCCAAGAGATCGACGACTGAACCACGGAGAAGAAAAATCGACTGAACCAAAAGAAGAGAGAGTCGCATGAACCAGAGAGCTCCAGAGTGGCTATCGGCAACCTGAGGAGAGAGGAGAACCCACCCGACTAAACCTCCAAGCCTGTCGACAGACCTGGGCTGGGAAAAGAAGGAGCTCCGACGCACCTTAGGGTGTAGGCGAAGCCTGCGAAGGCTGCGGCTAGGGCTTTCGACGTCCTAGAAGGACGGGACTTGGGACTGTTGGCGCCTTAGGAGGCTGTGAGTGGTCCTGGCAGAACCCTAGAGAGATGGTGGCTGGTGTGATGTGGACTGCGGCTAGGGTGGTGGTGCGGTGGTGGTGTGAAAGTGGCTGTAGGGTTGTGGTTGCTAAGGTTTTAGACTGGCTCTGATACCATGTCAATTTTGAGAAGAGAAAAATTAGAGGTATGAGTGATATCTCATCTCCTTTTATATTAAATCATCACCATAATTACAGGAGTGCCCTAAGGCATCAAATAAGAATACTAAATATACATCAAAATAAAATAAGGAATATTCTAACACATTCTAACAAATTATTCCTAGGACAATCACAAACTAAAGATGGAAAAAGTTTCTCTGAAATACTAAAGGAAGAGTGACCTAAACGACGACGTCATTGATGGAGGAGATGAAGGGAGGAGCGGGTAGTGCACATGAGAGCCTGAGATGACAAAGGTAAGGTAAAAGGAACAACATCTAGAAAATACAGTCCACCTTGTGCTCTACCACTACTAATCATTTTCCCTGTAGTCAGTTCCTGAAAGACACGATGAGTAGGAAAAAACGTCACCAAGCAATTTAAAGATGTAGTAAGACTACTAACAGAAAGCAAGTTTGTAGAAAAATTAGAAACATGAAGCACAAATGAAAGCGAAAGTAAAAAAGAAACAATGAACGGAACCCTTGCCAGATACAAAGGATAAAATGCCATCACCCACTCTAATCTTATCTTGCCCAGAACAAGGAGAATAAGAATAGAAAAGACTAGAAGCACCTGTCATGTGGTTAGTAGCACCGAAATCAATAATCCAAGGAGATGATGAGGATGTACTAAGTGCACTAGCAGGAATACCTGTGTGAGCAAAGTTGGAAAAAGCACAAGCGGAAGGAGCTGTAGTAGGGGAAGAATCAAGTTGAGCCATCAAATGCCTGAGAGTGTGGGGCACATCCTGGAAAAGAGGACTAGTGTCACCAAGGGTGCTAGTAGTGGCCTCCGACACGTGCTTGAGGACGAACTCCACCACCATAACCACGACAGCGAGTAGGACGATCATTCAATTTCCAACAATGCTACTTATCATCTATGTCCTTTCCACAATAATCACATTTCAAGCGATCCCAATCAACCGATGTACCCTTACTACCAAACTGAGGCTGAATAGGCTTGGTATCACGCGGAAAAGGAGCAACAACCACAGCAGAGTGATCCGGAAGAGAGGTGTGCACCATAGCACTACTGTGACTCTCCTCTTACTGAACAAGAGCATAAGCCTCGCGTAAAAGTGGGAAATGGAGAACGACCCAACACTAGAATATGAATTTGATCATACTCCAAATTAAGGCCAGGAAAAAAGTCGTAAACACGCTCCTTCTCTACGGTCCACTGAAACAAAGAGGCAGCCCTAGAACAAATAGCCTAGAAGCTCTGGTAATAATCAAGTTCTTGCCATAAGCCGCTCAACTCAGCATAATATACCATAAGAGATCAATCATGCTAATCTAAGCCCCGAATCTTCTTCCTTAACTCATATGCATGTGCATCATTACCCTTTTGAGAGTGCATCTGTGCCGCAAATATCCAAATCTTATGAGCAATGTCCAGTAAAAGGAAAGTCCGACTAATAGGAGGTTGCATGGAATTGATCAACCAAGTCATAACCAAAGCATTTTCTAAAACCCATCGAGTATGCATATCACCATCATCTTCGGGTTGCTTGAGATCACCAGTAATATATCCAGTCAGACGACAGGGAGCAATAGCAAGACTATACGAGCAGGACCAAATCAAGTAGTTGGTACCATCAAGCTTAACAGAACTAATTTGAAGAGAGGGGCTATCACCAAGAGTCACAACATGACTCAATCCACTCTCCTCAATGTTCTTAGGTGCCTGACTCTCGCTTTCAGCCAATCCACTCTCCTCAGCCATAGAAAAGGAGTGCCAAAAAACCCAAGGAAGGTAGAAAACAAATCTAAAAGAAACCCAACTGGAACATCAACTCATCTCTATGGGCTGAAACAGTGCTGATATAATGCAAGGTATCCCAGCAGCCACACCTCAACGAAGCAAATAGGGCAATCAAAGGTCCAATTGGCTCCCAAATATGAATAAACATGCAAAAACCTCACAAAAACATCAAAACAGGAACACCACTCTTCCCCTAATCCAATCGGCTCCCAAGGGTGTAGAAGGGAAAAATTAGCCCTAAAAAGACTAGAGCAAGGGTGTCAGAAAAACATAGGGTTTATCATAGGGAAGAACCCATCAGATTTCGTCCATGGGAGAATATATATATATATATATATTTTGGACTGGTTAAAAATAAATAAATAAATAAAAGAGGGAAAAAACCAAATCTTCAAGGAGGAAGATTAAGCTCTAATACCATGTCAATTTTACAGAGAGAAAGAAGTGGAAGAAGAAAGAGAGCCGTGAGAGAGAAAGGGAGAGACAGAATTGCTGTTAGAGAAAAGAGTTACCTAAACTTAGGGTTCACCTCTTAGACTCCAGTATTTATATTAATAAACATAATTACAAATGTACTAAAATAACCTTATACTCACATAACCTAACACTTAACAATTACGTACATGGCTCTCTTTTCAGCCCTAATGTCTTGGGGTTTGAAATTTTTCCTAATGATCAGGAGACCATTGAACTTATTTCTCAGCTGGCTTTTCTTAAGAATGTGTCCTCGCCAAATACTCGTGTAAGTCATTTTTTGAGAGTCTTATTGATAATCCAAATGTTCCTTTTTTTTCCATTCCCACATCATGATCTGTGATATGCTAATTTGCTTCTCAAAGTTAAAGTGTTTGTACGGACACTTTCCCACAAGAAGCTTAATACCAATGACTTGTTTTAAAAAAAGGAGACCAAATTGCTATTTGTTACTGCAATAATCTGTTATGCGTAAAAAGGCAGAGGAAAATATGGATCATGTATTTTTGCATTGCCCCATTGCTCTATCTTTATAGTCGAAAGTCTTACTTTTGGCGGAGGTTGATTGGGTTATCATTCCATTGTGTGAGCAATTGTTTTGCATTGATTTTAAAGGTTTTGGTTCTACTATTGAGGCTCGAGCTCCTTGGAGGTGTGTAGTGTGTGCGGTTCTATTGATTGCTTTGATAGAAAGAAATGCCCAGATTTTTGAAGAAAAAGCTAAAGACTTTGAAAGCTTGTGGGAGAATATTTGCTTTTTGGGTTTTGATTACCCCTTCCTTCAAAAGGATACCACTCTTTTTAATTTCTAGGGACTGCAATGTTAAATTACCTATTTTTTCAAGCCTAAGCTATTAGGAAATGGGCCCAACAATGTATATCAAGCTATCTAACACTCTCCCTCACTTGCAACCCCGTCTTGCATGTGGAGAGACAAATAGAAGGAGAAGCAAACAACCAAACAAAGAAAGAACCAAAAGGGGACATAATACCAAATGCTAATGAAGAGACTTCAACCCAAGACCTCTCTCAACCAAAGCCCTGATATCATGTTAAGTTACCAATTTTTTCAAAAGCTTGAGCTATTAGGAAATGGGCCCAACAATGTATGTCAAGCTATCTGACATGCAAAGCTGTTTGTAAATTGTGAGGTTTTTACTTTTTGAGTTTCTTTGTTCAGATTTTCTTCTCGTCTTTTAATGTCCTCGTGGTCCTCCTCTTGTACTCCCCTTCTTAATATATCTCATTTTTGTTGCCAATCAAGTATCTATATATAGGAAAATTCTATTTGCACACCACAGAAAATCTCAACACAAACCATTTATGCAGTTCAGATATAAACTTCTGAACAAAAGTCAAATGTCCGGACATAAATTACCAAACAAAAAACAGTTGTTCATATCAACTATTGAACATAATGTATATCTGAACAATTCATTTTTATTTTGAAATTTATGTCTAAATATTTGACTTTTGTTCGAAAGTTTATATCCGAACAATACAAATGACGTGTATTGAGATTTTTTGTGATGTGTGAATAGAATATATATCTCAAGTTTGGCTCGATTAATAAATGAGCCTAAAAATTTGAGTAGACCTTGTTCATTTAACAATTGAATCTAGCTCAAACAAGCTAAGCTCGAGTTGTTCATGAATATCTAGGTTCATTTGCAAACCTAAACAAAAATCCCATGGGAGACCAAAATAGAAAGAGAGTAAAAGCCTTCACCCAACACTCCAAGTTCAAAGCGAAAGACTTCACATTTTCCACTCAACCCACCGGATGAGCTAACTCTTGGCCAAAATAACCTGCAACCTCGCAACCACTCAAAGCAAAGTAATACACGCCTTATAAACTGCAACTCATTCTCACTATCTTTGCAAATGATCAAAGTATCATATGTAAAAAGTAGGTGGGTTTCTGACATAGCTCCATCATCCATGTATAGCATTCGCCCCAAAGCTACCAAGGCATCTATCATTGGCCACCCTTCCTAAAGTTTACATAACATGTTCTAGACATTTCAAAATACTTTGAAGCAAGAAATCAGGTAGCATATTAAATGTAGAGAAGTTAAAAGCTAATCCAATAACGATTACAATACAATCCACGAATTGGCAGTTCAACATGAATACCAGAAGTAAGAAATTTTTGATACCTGAATTTGATATTTGTCACTGGATCTTCGAGCAGATATCCACTCCTCTAGTAAAGCCTACTCACAAAAAAAGAAATGCATCTATAATATGGGGAAAGTTGACAAAATAGAAAAGAAATAATGAGGGAAGAATTAAGTCAGAGTCTGATAAAGTGAAGCTAGTTCCACTAAATTACATTAGACATGAGATCTCAAGAACATCAAGACACCCATCCAATTCAGAAAGAACAGGAACATATATGTTAAGGAGTTTTCCAAATTGTATCCCATGAAAAGGTGTCCTTTTATTACCTATATTGAAAATAAAATAATATTGCACTCCTCCTTCCCACCCTCTTCTTTCTCTCTCCATCGTTTGTGAGGCAACCCAAAATGATCCACTTTCAGCTAGTTCAACCATTCTGTCCACATTCTTTCACAAATGAAAAGTAAATTAACTAGCCAGTTCAAACTATTTGTGGTTACAAGGTACCATCTAGAAAATACAACCTATACAAAATAAAAATAAAAAGACTAAGTGACTCCCTTCCCTCCACAATTTTATTGGCTAAGCCATTTGACATATCTTCCCTAGAAATTTCAGACATTTATACTTACTGCCAGTATGCCTTGCACCACAATAGAGCTAACTATTCATTTTATTACTAATGATAACAAAAGTTGGAATGTACGGTAATTCACATTCCCCTCTTTCCTGAAGTCATCCTCTTGCCTTACGCTTCCCTACCATGACATCTGTGCTGTGATAGCAACTGAAGAGCATCACAAACAACAGAAAAGAAAAAAGAATTTGATCTCACCTTATGGTCAAAATCAGCCATCTTCAGAACTATAGGTATGATTATTGGTTCAGGACCAGACTTTTCTTTTCCAACGGGGGGATTTTCGTCTTTCTTGGGGTCTTTAATTGTTTCACCTACATGTCCAAAAAAACTAAGAATTCAATCCACCCAAGTTGCACATTTTGTCTTTTCTAGTCAAAGAAGGGAAAATCCGAAAGACTATAAAAACATATTATGGCCTAAAGCCTCAACAGAGAATTTAAGTATATTAGCAGATTAGAGAGATAGAGTAAACCTGTATCATTAGAAACACTTGCAGCAATGTTAATTGATTCCAGACAATTTGACACCTTATTCAACTGGTCAGCAGAAACCCCCTCTGTTGACTGTGCATTCTGAGACGAGCAGTTACTATTCTCACTATGACTGCCACAAAAATTCGAAGAATTACTTTCCATTTGTATAGCATTTTTATCGTCTGATGTCAAAGAATTTGGTTCCTCAACTTCTGCTGGCATGTGAGTTTGTGATTTATTCTCATCCTCCATGAGGTATATACTTGGATCCAAATGTATTCCCTGCCATTTTCATAAACAAATGTGGAACAACAAAAACATGAATTGAAACTCAGGCACACAAGACTTATAGTAATGCTTAACACGTGATTATTATTAATTTGTCTGAAACAAATAATTCAAAACATACAAAAAATGAAGACACAGTTCAGATATTATTTGTAGAACTAAAAACTATGACAGTAGGCTGCATCATAAAACAAATTCCACTCTTCCTGGTCTGCCTGCAGCATCTAGAGTGTTTAATCCTTTATTTCTTTTGCATCTTTATCTTTTTTGGGTTGGTTCTGGAGAAAACCATATTGTTCCTCCTCACAATTTCCTTGTTTCTTTAAAATTTGTTTATCTGTATAAATAAATTTTTTTTTAAAGTAAAAATTTATTGACATAAGTGCCATGAAAGGGCACATAACCTGCACACTCTAAGCATACACCAGATTAAACAAAAATAAAACGTATCCCTAGTCCCTACTATGTACCAACAGGGATATACAACTTCCCCAAAAAGTTAACTGTTGGAATTAGGAAATCATAATATTGTATTTATGGTAATGTGTATAAAATCCGTGATTGTACAAATCACGGATTTATTGCCTTAATTATTTTATTTCCTAATTTGTATTATTGATTCAATATATATACATGGCATTGCCTCATTCAAAGGTAAGCCATACAATTCTTTTCATTCTTCTTTAACTTCTATATGCATCTTTTTCTAAAAACTCATTTTCCACTCTTCTAGGAGGAAACCATCTCCTTTCTCCTAAACCTCTACCCTGCATGAGGGATCCATATTGTTAGAATATATGTTAAAATATTTCTGTTGTTTGTTTCCTTACTTATTGTTTCCTTACTTAGATTGTTCTGTGATTTCTTGATTAGTGCCTTAGGACTCTCCCTGTAACTGTTGGTTGATGAATATAAAAAGGGATGACGTTATTGTCATTCCCTAAGTTTGATTTTCTCTAAAACAAACAGAGTATCAGAGCTTTAGGGCTAGTATCTCACCTTCCATCATCACCCATTTGCAGCCGATCATTACCCACCCTGTTTTGGCCCATCTCTCATCTTTCTAGGGCTCACGACAGCTTCTGACCACAGTCGGAGACCACCCAGGACCTTCCGACAACCTCTCTGTCAGCGTCAGCCCTTGCTAATGCTTCTCTAAGGGTCGCACACCATCTACGACAATCTCTCTCTGTTGTTCGGCACTTCCGACACCCTCTCTGTCAGCGTCGGCCCTTGTTGATGCTTCTCTAAGGGTCGCACACCATCTACCCTTCTGTGGACAGCTTCGTGAGCCCCTGCTAGTCTTGTTTCTTCTTTTCTTGGGTCGGCATCTCCACCCAGTCGACCATATGCATTGATTGACCCATCTGGAATTTGGGTCTCTACCTAAAGCTATGTTTTTTTTCTTTTGAGAATATTCCAGCCACTGTTTTGATTGGAGGATATTTTTCTCTTTATTTCATTTATCTTTTGGGTCCTTATATGGCCCCATTACCTAGCTTTGACTGATTGGTATACTCCTATCATGGTCTGTGATTGATATTGCTTGGTCCAGTTGATTTTATTTCCTCTTCCAGTATTTGTGATTAGTGTAGGTTGTTATTCAGTTTATAGAATCTAAATGGCTGACCTTACTAGTGAATCCACCAGCACTTCTCAGCCACCTACAGGGGAGAGTCCCATTATGACTACTACATCTGAAAACCTAAATACTAGCATAAAAATCACCACTTCTCTGTTTAATGGTTAGAATTATCTTACTTGGTCACAGTGTCTGACACTCTTCTTGAAGAGTAAGGGGAAGATGGGCTATGTTGATGGGAGGATCACGGCACCGGGCATCGTTGATCTGAGCTATGACCAATAGGAAATTACCAACTCTTTGATCATGGGGTGGCTCATTCATTCAATGGTTCTTGAGCTTGGTGAAGGTTATTTATCCATGGAGACTGCCCAAGATGTTTGGGAGGCAGTAGCTGCTACATATTCTAAGAAGGGGAATTTTTCTCAGTCATTTGAGTTGCGCCGATCTATTGAGTGCTTAATACAAGGGGAGCAGACAATTCTTCAGTATTATACCTTTCTGACTAATGGTTGAAAACGTCTAGATCATCTCCTAAATTACAAACCTATTTGCACAATTGACTTAGTTAGTTACCGAAAGTTTCTTGCCCAGGAGAGGGTCTTCAAGTTTTTGGAAGGCCTCAATGTGGAGTTTGACCCGGTTCGGAGTCGTGTCCTTGGCATAAATGTTCTTCTATCTCTTCAGGAGGCCTTTGTTTATGTCCAGAATGAAGAGAGTCATTGTTCTGCTATGTTACCTCTGACTTCTATAGACCAATTAGCATTACTTTATGCACCTTCTCGGGATGGTGCTAGTTTGCCACTTCCTTCTTCTCATCCTTCCGAGAAGGATAATTTATTCTGTGATTACTGTCGTCGGCCAAGGCATAGCCGTGAGACTTGTTGGAAGCTTCATGGGACTCCATCAGGGGGTCAAGAAGATCGCTCTGGTCATAAAGGCAGTCATTCTAGTCAGTCAAGAGGACGTGGGTCCCACTCTCGTGCTCATCAGTCCAATACTATAGAGCCACATGATTCCTCTTCGGTGATGCAGACTTCTGATCTAGCCTCTGGTATGTCATCCTTTGAGTTTGAGGACGCTCTGCACAATTTGCTGGATCGCCAGTCTCCTATTCTTCCAGGTGCATCTTCTGTTTCTTCATCATTTGCCCGTTCAGGTAACTTAGTCTCATCTTCTAGTGCCTTTTTATCCCAGAAGACCTTGCCTTGGATTATTGATTCTAGTGCCTCAGATCATGTGTCTGGATCTTCTGATCTCTTCTCAAACTATACCCCAGCCTCCGGTCAGGATAAAGTTAGGATTGCAGATGGTACTATTTCCCCTGTCTCTGGGAAAGGTTTAATCCGTGCCACCCCTTCTCTACCTTTGTCTTCTGTTTCATATGTTCCTAATTTTTCTGTTAACCTATTGTCTTTGAGTCGTCTTACTCAAGATTTGAATTGTAGTGTAATATTTTTCCCTAATTCTTGTCTTTTTCAGGACCTTATCACGAAGAAGACAATTGGCAGTGGTAAAACAAAAAATGGTCTCTATATCCTCGATCAAACTGACCAGCAAGCTCATCATTCCATCCAGTCTCCATCCACCAAGGAAGATTTATGGCTATGGCATCACCGTCTAGGACATCCATCTTTTTTATTACTTCGGCATTTATTTCCTCCTGTTTTTATTAAAACTAAAGTCTCTGAGTTTCATTGTGAGTCCTACCAACTTGGCAAACAACACCGAGCTTCTTTTGCTCCTAGTAATAATAAAAGTTCAGTTTTTTTTTCTTTAATTCATTCGGATGTTTGGGGTCCCTCTTATGTAAGGTCTATGAAGGGTCATCCATGGTTTGTTATTTTTATAGATGATTGCTCTCATGCTACTTGGGTGTACCTCCAACGAGAGAAAAGCGAAGTTTTTTCTGTGTTTCAAAACTTCCATAAGATGGTTAGTACTCAATTTGGGGCAGTTGTCAAAGTCCTACGTTCTGATAATGGGGGTGAGTACATTGATTCGGGGTTGGTTCAATATTTTTCCACTTATGGCATTATCCATCAAACGTCTTGCACTGACACCCCTCAACAGAATGGTATTGCCGAGTGCAAGAACCGTCATCTCCTTGATATGGCTCGATGTATGTGTTTTTCTATGGGTGTCCCTCGGGCCTATTGGGCCGAGGATGTTCTCACTGCTGCCTATCTCATTAACCGTCTTCCTACACAAGTCTTGCAGAAACGGGCACCTCTTTAAGTTCTCTTAGGTTCTGAGTCTCTGTTTTCCATTCCTCCAAAAACCTTTTGATGTGTGTGCTTTGTTCACAATCATTCTCCTTCTCGGGGTAAGATGGATCCTCGTTCTCTCAAATATGTGTTCTTGGGTTACTCGCCTACTCAAAAGGGGTACAAGTGTTATCATCCTCCCTCTCATAAATGGTTTGTATTGATGGATGTCACCTTTTTTGAGTCTCAATCCTACTTATTCTCTAGTCCAGTGTCCTAGTCATTTCTTCAGGGGGAGTTTTGGCATAAAGAGAGTCCAGTTGCTTCTATTATTCCTAGTCCAGTACCACCTCCAGTGGTATCTATCACTAGCAATACTGAATCCGATGTTGCCAAGAACAAAGAAGGACGGGTCTATGTCAGGAATAAAGAAAGGCAGAAAGTTACTTAGATACAAGAGACCATTTTTAATCAATCACTGCCGTCTCCTTCTCTTGATGAAGGTCCAAGTAACCCTGAAACTCCTGGTATTGCTACCTTTGAGCTTGAGCCTGAGCCTGTTGATCTTGATATATCCATTGCCAAGAGAAAGGGTGTGAGATCTTGCACTCATCATCCTATTTCTAACTTTATGTCTTATTCTCATTTGTCCTCTTCATATAAAGCTTTTGTGTCAAAAATATCCTGTATTGGTATACCTAATCATTTTCAAAATGCTCTTACTATTCCTAAGTAGAAACTAGCCATGGTGGAGGAAATGAAAGCGCTTCATAAGAATGGCACTCGGGATTTGACTGAGCTACCTAGGGGCAAATGAACTATGGGATGCAAATAGGTGTATACTGTGAAGCACAAGGCAGATGGTTCCATTGAGCGATATAAAGCTCGACTTGTGGCAAAGGGTGTTACTCAGACCTATGGAGTGGACTACCAACAGACATTTGCACCAGTTGCGAAGATGAATTCAGTCTGAGTACTTCTCTCTCTGGCAGCTAATCTGGATTGGCCACTTCATCAGTTTGATGTGAAGCACACTTTCTTGCATAGTGACCTAGAAGAGGAGGTGTATATGGATATTTCTTCTGGCTTTGAAACTCTTAAAACTCACAATAAGGTGTGTCGACTTTGGAAGCCATTATATGGCCTCAAACAGTCTCCTAGGGCTTGGTTTGAAAGGTTCACTCAGGCCATGCTGAAACATGGCTTCAAACAAAGTCAGGCTAATCGTACTCTGTTTGTTAAACATTCCTCTCATGGTAAGACTATAGCTCTCATTGTATATGTGGATGGCATAGTTCTTACAGGAGATGATATTGAGAAAATTTATTTGTTGAAGAAATATTTGGCAAGTGCGTTTGAAATCAAAGACTTGGGGAACCTAAAGTACTTTCTGGGGATCGAAGTGGCTAGATCAAAGGATGGAATTTTCATCTGTCGGAGAAAATATGTTCTTGACCTATTAAGGGAAACAGGGATGCCCGGAAGCAAACCCTGTGATACACCACTGAAGCCTAATTAGAAACTTCGTGATGATAGTGGGGGAGCAGTTGTTAACAGGGATTATTATCAGAGGCTAGTGGGTAAGTTCATTTACTTATCTCATTCTCGTCCTAATATTGCTATTGTCGTTAGTGTGGTTAGCCAGTTTATGCATGCTCCTCATGAAACACACTTGGCAGCAATTATGAGAATTTTGAGATACTTGAAATCTTCTCCTGGAAAAGGTCTTTATTTTTTCAAACATGATCATCTTAGTGTGGAAGCTTATATGGATGCTGATTGGGCAGGATCAGTCACTGATAGGAGGTCCACTTCTGGGTATTGTACCTTTGTTGGAGGCAATTTGGTTACTTGGAGAAGTACGAAAAACAATTTGGTTGCCAGGTCTAGTGCAGAAGCTGAGTTAGAGCTATGGCACAAGGTGTGTGTGAGCTCTTGTGGATCAAGTTGCTATTGCATGACTTTGGAATTGACCAGACAGACTCTATGCGACTATATTGTGATAATAAAGCTACCATCAACATAGCTCATAATACGGCTCAACATGACAGAACAAAGCATGTTGAGATTGATCGTCACTTCATCAAAGAAAAGCTCACTAGTGGCACAATATGCACTCCATTTGTGCAGTCTGGTGAACAACTTGCAACTATCCTCACCAAGGGAGTTGGGGGTAAACCATTTCATGATATTCTTGGCAAGCTGGACATGAGAGATATCTTTGCACCAGCTTGAGCGGGAGTGTTAGAATATATGTTAGAATATTTCTATTGTTTGTTTCCTTAGATTATTCTGTGATTCCTTGATTAGTGCCTTAGGACTCTCCTTGTAACTGTTGGTTGATGAATATAAAAGGGGATGATGTTATTGTCATTCCCTAAGTTTGATTTTCTCTAAAACAAACACATATCTCTTTAACAAAACAAACAAACACACACACACACACACACATGTATATATATGGAGTCTTAAATATCTTTTTAATTCCACAAGGAGGCATGACCAGTGTCAGCTCTAGAAATATTGATCAGGGTATTCATTCAAAAATTTATTAAAATTTATGAAGAAAAAAAATTCACACTTGTTAGTATCTATCATCCACTTTCAATAAATCTCTTAATTTAAACTTCTTAAATAACAAATAATGAAGAATTTTAATATATTGTTACTATTATTTTAACAAAAAAAAAATATCAAATACATGAAAGCTTGAAGCCAGTTTTTAAAAATTTTGTGCCCTAATTCAACAGAAGCTATATTTACCAAGAGATTATGGGTTTTTATTTATTTATGTAAAGGGCAGTTTGTTTTTTAGTACTTTGAAAACAAAGTGTATGGACTAGATGCATTTTGGGTATTTCTCACACCACATCAACTTTAAATATATACCATATACTTTATTTTATAGACTTTTTTTGGTAAGTCGAGTTTCTAACTAGAGTATTACATTTTAGAATTAATGATACTATGAGTAGGTCGTAGGATGGGCATGCAATGTTTGGGGTGGGTGAGTTGGGTGCTCAAAATTTGCGAGATGAGTATTCAAAATGTGTAAATTTGAGTATTGAAATTATGAGGAGTGGACTGATTAACATAAATATTACCTATATATATATATAAAGGGTATTCAATTGAATACCCTGTGCAGCCACCACTAGGCATGAATCATGATTCTTAATAACTTGCCAAGTCTTTGATAGAAGGAGCTTGTAATACTTCTCACTACAATCTGTCAAGTGGTCTAATATTCCATCCAGGACAAGTGCTTGTACAATCCAGTGTAGAGATTCTACTTTCCTTAAAAATTCTACCAGTTTTTTTCTTGATGCATATCTTGAGATTATTCAGTTCATACAATCTCATCAAATAAGTTAATGAATAACTGAGTTTGAAAGTAAATAAAAATGAATACAAAGGATACAATAAATATGTGGACAAGTAAAGTCTACAATGTAGTCTTCACTGATCAAGTATACCTCAATAATAATTGGTTTTCCATCTTTCATTGCTTTCTTTAGATCACCAGCCAAACCTTAAAAGAAATAGAAATTACACGATGCATGTAATATTTCTTAAAAGCTCCCAAACAGCTACAAATGTCCTCATCATGTATGCATATTTACATTACCTTTTCGAACTATTCTGCATTCTCTACAAAATTCGGTAATTAGTTCCTCGGAGGAGCTGAAGTCTCGTGCCCAAACAGGGGAAGATGCCAATGGGGCACTGAATATGAGATAAAACGAGCATAAGCATTCTGGTGTGGTGCATTGACATATAAGAGGCATTGTAGCTGAGTATTCCATAGTAGAACCCATACTTCAAAGCAAGGCATAGCTGTTACTAAAATTAAACCAGCTTCAAAAACTTCTAGAGATACATTTTAGTACAAACTCACATAAGATTTATATGCTACATATCAAAGAAATTAGTATAAATTTTGTTTTTTGATAAATAAAGAGTACATTTTATTAGCATAGAAGTGTCAAGATGATGTTAAACAAATGTAACCACAAAATTGTAAGAATAATATCTTGGGTGATTGTGTATTGTTAGAATAATATTTTGGGTGATTGGGTGTTGATTGGTTTATCAGCTGTTGTTTCCTTATTCTATTATTTCCATATTTGTGCCTCCAAGGCTTCCATTGTAAGCCACCTATTATCTATATAGAAGGGGATGATTGTGTAAGTTTAGAGAAGAAAGGAGATCAGGAATGAGTGAGACCTCATCCCCTTTTACATTGATTATAATGAGTAATTACAGGAGTGCCAGAAGGCATAAATTATGGATTAGCCCATTACATCAATCAAGGGAAAATAAAATCAAATAAGAAAAAAATATAACAAATATTATTTCCTATTCTAACACTCCCCTTAAGCTGGTGCGAAGTCATCTCTCATGCCCAGCTTATTGAGAATGTCATGAAATGGTTTGCTCCCTATTCCTTTGGTGAGAACATCTTCACAAATAGAATACATATGGTGCCACTAGTGAGCTTTTTGTTGATGAAGTGCCTATCAATCTCCACATGCTTGGTTCTGTCATGTTAAACTGGATTATGAGCTATGTTGATTGCGGCCTTGTTGTCACAATACAATCTCATGGAATCAGTCTGATGGATCCCCAAGTCTCCTAACAATAGTCTAATCCATAACAACTCACATACCCCTGAGCCATACCCCTGAATTCGGCATCAGCACTAGATCTAGCAACTACATTATGTTTCTTACTTCGCCACATGACTAGATTGCCTCCAACAAATGTGCAATATCCAAAAGTTGATCGTTTGTCAGTGACTGATCCAGCCCAATACGCATCAGTGAATGCCTCCACACTGAGATGTCCATGTTTTGAGAAATAGAGACCCTTTCCAAGAGAAGCCTTCAGGTATCTCAGGATTCTCATAATTGCCTCTAAGTGAGAATTTCTAGGAGCATACATAAACTGGCTAACCATGTTCACTACAATGGTATTGTCTGGACATGAGTGGGATAAATATATGAGCTTACCCTCTAGTCTCTAGTATCTCCCCCTGTCCACTGAATCTCCCCATTGATTCTCACTTAGTTTCTGGCCCGGTTCTAGAGGTGTATCACATGGTCTACAAATATTCCAGTTTCCGTTAACAAGTCAAGTACATACTTCCTCTAGCATATGAAGATGCCATCATTGGACCGAGCTACTTCAATGCCTAAAAAATACTTCAAATTGCCTAAGTTTTGATGTCAATCTCCTTGGCTAAGTATTCCTTCAACCGAGGGATCTACTCAACATCATCTCCTGTTAGAACAAAATCATCAACACAGACAATAAGAGCTGCAGTCTTACCATGTAAGGAGTGTTTCACAAATAAGGTGTGATCAGCTTGATTTTGCTTGAACCTATATCTCAACATAGTTTGAGCAAACCTTTCAAACCAAGCCCTAGGGGATTGCTTTAGCCCATAAAGTGACTTCTGGAGCCTACAGACTTTACCTTTCAACCTAGCATCCTCAAAACCAGGGGGAATATCCATATAGACCTCTTCTTCTAGGTCTCCATGAAGGAAGGCATTTTTCACATCAAACCGATGAAGTGGCCAATCCAAATTTGCTGCAAGAGAGAGTAGTATTCTTACAGAGTTCATCTTAACAACCGATGGAAATGTCTCTTGGTAATCTACCCAATAAGTCTGAGTAAAGCCCTTCGTAACCAGTCTTACTTTGTACCATTCTATGGAACCGTCTGCTTTGTGTTTCACAGTGTACACCCACTTACACCCTACTGGATTTTTGCCTCTAGGTAACTGCACTAACTCTCAAGTGCCATTCTTGCTGAGAGCTTTCGTCTCCTCCATCATGGCATGTTTTCATTCAGGAATAGAGAGAGCATCCTGAAAATTGTTAGGCAGACTCACAGAAGAAATTTTAGACAGAAAGGTTTTATATGAGAGAGACAGATTAGAATAAGAGACATGATTAGTAATAGGATACTGAGTACATGGCCTAACCCTCTTCCTATTAGTAATGGGAACATCAAGATCTGAGAACTCAGGCAGAGGAGTATTAGGATTAGAGTTACCTGGACTCTCAGGAGAGGGGAATAACTCTGGACACTCATCCGGAGAAGAAGTTGGCAGTAGAGGAGGGAAAGTAGTCTCTTGCATTGAGGTGACTTTCTGTTTATCTTTGTCCCTAACATAAACTTTGCCTTCTTCCTTTTCCACAACAATTGCTGGCTCAATATCGTCTATCTGTTCCACCACTGGTGGTAGTGGCACAAGAATCTCTTCACACCAAGGCTTTCCCTGAAGGGATGACTGTGAAAATGAGGATGTCGGAAAGTAAGACTGAGACTCAAAGAAAGTGACATTCATGGAGACAAACCATTTGCGAGATGGAGGATGACAACACTTATAGCCCTTTTGGGTGGCAAAGTAACCCAGGAAAACACACTTAAGAGACCAAGGATCCAATTTACCACGAGTGGGTGAATGATTATGGACAAAATAAACACATCAAAAGGTCTTAGGGGGAATGGAGAACCTAGATGACGTGGACCCAAACAAAACCTGAAGAGGGGTTTGTTTTTGAAGGACTTGGGTACGAAGACGAATAGATGAATGAGCCAGCTTGTCTGATCCAGAATGTAGAGACCATGTTCCTCTCTACCACTGCTAATCCTCTTCCTCATGATAAGGTCCTGAAAAAGACAATGATCAGAAAAAAAAATGTCAACTACAATTCAAATCACGAGTAATACGACTCAAAGATAAAATATTAACACTAAAATTGGGAACATGGAAGACAGAGGTTAAAGGAAGTGAAGAGGTGGCATGAATTAAATCTTTCCCTGACAAAGATGAAATAGTACCATCAGCAATACACACTTTTTCCTGGCTTGAGGAAGGGTAATACATTGAGAACAAATGAAAGAAACCAGACATATGGTCAAAAGCACCAAAATCAATAATCCATGGCACAGTAGTATGAGATAGCAATGCACATGTGGAGGAAACCAAGTTACCAGAATTGGCAAAAATAGAAGAGGATGCACCTATGGTAGAAGTAGAGGCTCGACGGTCTAGCAAGTGGCGAAGAGCAATCTCAAAATCAGAGGTAGATAACCCCAAAACATCAACAGCTGGTGAGATAACGGGAGATGAAGGTGGTGGCTCAACCGTGTCTGAAAGATGAGCCCGAGCATTGGCCCCTTGGCCTCTAGATCGACCAGACCGATCCCCTCGAGTATCAGGACGATCTCCTCGGCCACCAAAAGGAGTCCCATGCAGCTTCCAACAAGTCTCTCTTGCGTGGCGAGGTCTACGGCAGTAGTCACAGAAAAGCTAATCCTTCTCAGAGAAAGGACGAGAACCACTTGCAAACATCCTCACCAAAGGAGTTGGGAGTAAACTATTACACGACATTCTAGGCAAACTGGACATGAGAGATATCTTCGCACCAGCTTGAAGGGGAGTGTTAGAATATTTTCTTGTTTCCTTATTTAGATTAGATTGTGATTGATTGATTGATTGTGATTCCTTAATCAGTCAGTCAATCAATCAATCAATATAAAAGGTAATTCCTTAATCAGTGCCTTAGGGCTTCCTTTTGTAACAGTTAATTGATTAATATAAAATGGGATGATATCATAATCATCACTCAAGTTTTGTATTCTCTTAAATTACACAAACAAGGCACCGAAACCTATAATCCTTGGAAAGTTAGACGATTGTGCTCCAACCAAACCAACTACATTAAGCACAAAAGGACCATAGTCCAAACCTTCTGCCGCCTTTTTCCCACCCTACCCCCCTCTAACTACCCAACTCCACTTTCACACTCCTTTGCTGCACCCAATCCAAACCAAACACTATGAAAATCAAGCCTCAAATTTGAATAGTCACCGGGCAATGAAGCAGAAAATGCGAAACAGATTTCGCATCCTGACAACACATACAACGCCAATTGACCAAAATCTAACCACGACAAATCAAAGTATCCAAAGTCAAAATCCAAACACGCACAGCCGTCCACACAAAAAACGCCACTTTTGAAGGCATCCTAGCAACCCACACACTCCGCTACGGTAAAGAACCATCCATAAGCCCCACTTGAGCACAATAAAAAACGACACCAAGAAAACCCCTTTCCCTCCTTTGCAACTCCATAACATACCATCCTCCCCCCACCCCAACCCCCCGAAGACCATACAAACAAACCATTAGATCCACCAACTAATCAATCTCCCAATTAAAAATCGGCCTTCCAAGTCTAACATCCCACACCATCCAACCATCTACCAAAGACAAATGCGACGCCACCACCACATCTTTATCTATCGCAATCTAAAACAACATCGGAAAACGAGTCACCATAGTTTGATCGCCACACCACCAATCCTTCCAAAAATGCACCCGCCCACACCTACTTGCACCAAACCAAACCCACCACCAAAACTTCCCCATTTCTAGACAGAAACCTTCCACACACTCCTCCCATGAGTAATCCTCACCTCCCCAGAACACCACCCTCCCCACCCAACCCTACAGTTCGCCACCACAACCAATGCCATAGCTGCTCTGCTTCCTCCACAAACCGCCATAACCATTTCCCCAACAACACCCTATTAAATACCACTAACTTCCTCAACCCCAAACCACCACTCTCTTTTGGAAGTCAATAAATTTTCAAGACATAATGTATGCCTAAAAAATGAACATCCAGAGCATAACACCTTGATCAAATAACATATTTCAAAACCTTGTTCAAAAAGAAGCCCCATGAATTGCAATTAGCCAGATATAAAATTTGATGCACACAATTTATTTTAGGATTAATAACCTATAAGTCCTACTCACCAATACTATCGTAGCTTAGATCCTGTTCAAAATTTTTTGAACCAATGAGTCCTATTTTGAGATATAAAGATGTTTTTGCCCTTCTGTCCTTTGGTTTGATTTGACTATCTAGTAGAACTGAGAATATTATCAATTTTTTCCAGTTTTAAAACTGAAAACATTATCAATGTTGTTTTGCTAACTGCGAAAAAAAAAATCAAGAACATGAGATTAAACGTTTTTGCCCTCTGCTCTTTGGTTTGATTTGACTATCTAGTAAAACTGAGAATATTATTAGCTTTTTTTAGTTTTAAAATTGAGAACATTATCATTTTTTCCCAATTTTAAAACTAAGAACACTGAGTATAAAAAAAAAACAAAGAAAGAGATTAAATAGGTGATTTCATTCTCATGAACTCTATATCTAAGAACAATGATACCAAAACCAACATTGAAATTGAAATCAAAATCAAAATAAAAAACAAGAGTTTCGAAACTGAAAAGATTCCCTTAAAAATTAGGATTTAAGATATTTGAATCTAAAAAGTCTCGAATCGTTGAGCCGATCTATAACGTCGTCGATCACAGTTTTGCAAACCTCAGGGTATCAAGAAACGAAGTGATCTTCAAGAGCTCATCGAAGACCACTTGCAACGAGAGCTATTATTTTCACTATTTCGCTTCTTCGAAGCTAAGAATGTTCCAACTGAATCGATGTTTGATGATAGTAGATATTCTAGCCTTGTTGCTCTGGAATTTGTGGAGATAGAGAGAGGAACAACTTCGAATCTGAGAATGTTTCCAACTAATATCGATGTTTGATGATAGTAGATGATCTTCTAGCTTTGTTGCTCTGGAATTTGTGAACAAAAAAGTAGAAAAATCTGAAATTTGTGGAGATAGAGAGAGGAACAAAGAGAGAGAGAGAGAGAGAAGGGGTTAGGTGGGGTGTTTTGTGTTTTTGAATTTGTAAGGATAGATTGGTCATATAAAATTAACAGAGGAATTACGGGTTTAAAGTTTTGTAAGTGGGATCTAAGATACCATTATTTGTCAAAATAGGACTTGACTGTAAATTTCCCTTTATTTTAAGATATAAAAATGACACAGAAATATGGTGGAAAAAATCAAATAAATGTAACTAAATAACTCTTCGTCCATGGTTTCTCGGCCAATACCACACTGACATGGTCAATGCATGCATAGCTGCAACCAGATATTGGTGCAAACCTAAAATTTTTTAAAATGATATCCCCACAATTTGACAATTTTCTCCTTTCTATGATTTTATTATTGCACCTTTTAGAATTTTTTTTCCCCAAATAAGTCATCAACCTAAACAACAATCATGAAAATCAATTCTAGACTTGCTGAAATGCAGAGAATCTGCACCACTTTCTGTTCATATTTGGAAAGCTACACTTTGGTGCACAATAAACTTCATATATTTTTAGAGGTGTATGCATAAGTAATTAATTAAAAAGGAGCAAATCAGTTACATACTCTGTTGCTGAGCGTAGCAGTTCATACACCATATATGTCTGAAACATTAAAAACAAAGAAATCAAGTACATAACTCACATATACAAGTGTGCGCAGCGGAACCGCGCATGTGTGTGTGTGAGAGAGAGAGAGAGGTAGAAATATCCTTATGTTAAGACAGGTTTACCTGCAAGACATTTGGCAAGTTTAGTCTTTGCGCAAGTTGGGTAGCAATTGTAGACTTCCCAGCACATGCAGTACCACATACAAGAATGACCAATGGTACTCTTCGATGGTGAAATCTAAATTTTTTTTTTTTAAAAAAAAAATGGTAATGAGAGGAGAAGAAACATTAAAATTAGAACACAATGCAGCATTTATTTTTCTTTGCCTGCATTATGAAACTATAGACTTTCCTAATATCATTCAACACAATCTTTTATGGTTAGATTTACAGCATGATATTATCTGAAAACTACAGGCCAATTTAAACTAGAAAAGGTCACAATTGGTGACTAAAAAATTATGACAGTAAAAAATAAAAATAAAATAAAAATCATAAACTACTACAGTCCTATTTGTCGTCAGTTAACCAGAGAACACTAAAAATTCAACCATGTGATTTACAACCAAACAAGTAGCACCAAAAAACGATATCTAAGATTTATGCTAAACTATTGCACTTTAGTTTTTTCCAATTATATATATTTTTTTCTTTAGAATACATACAGGGTAATTTGCAAATCCAAAAGTGGGCTTTGCTTCAACATAACCAGTAGAAGTAGATTTATATGATCCACACTAATCCATAAGCACTCTTTTCTTTTCTTTTCTTTTCTTTTTGTGCAATATATATATATATATATATGAAATCCATAGATGTCTTGGTGTTGTCTCCATGAACCGTTGCAATCTAGTCCATTACCATGTCTACAACAATACAAACTCATCTCAGGCAAATGGGAAATTCTTCAGAATTTTGCCATCTTGTATTAGAAAAAATATCTTTTCAGCACTCACTAGAGACATTTCAAATGAGACGTCTTGACCCTAGGGAAGAAATTGAACTATGGACCTACCTTAGAATTTTGGTAACAAGATGGTAGCTCATGTTAGGTCATCCAATTCTACTCAACTGCATGCATAAATTTAAAGGCCCATACCCAGCAACAAGTGTTAAGCACATGTCCCAATGAAAAGTTCTATACCACTTGTATTTTGTGGGAAATGTGTCCAGAACTCCAACATGGCACACCACACCATTGCCACGTCATCTCCTCATGCATGGGTTCCACGTATTAGTCTTGTGAGGTGACACATGAAGCAATATCATATATCTCTGAATGCTCTCCTGTGAAGTTGAGCCACGCCAATTGAGGCAAGCATATGCAGTGCGTTAGAGCCTAGGCACTTGGGGACATCCTTCAGATGAGTGAATTCAGTTTAACGGTGATACCAATTCATCGTTAACATGTGGTATCAACTGCCACGCTCTACTCCAGAAAGCTTAGAAGTTCGGGTTCTCAATCGCCACACTCTCTCCCTGTTTGAGACCACATCAATTCTCACAGTCATCTCTTGCCAGCTCAGTTCCTCACACTCCACCATCCAAATATTTATATAATATATTAAATTGAATTCGGGTTCGGGTTGCTCGGGTTGGCCATTGGTTCTGCCCAAGCCCGGCCCGAATTGCAATTCGGGCATCAAAAATCTGCCCAAGCCCGTCCAGATTACAAGATATAGTTGCCCAAGCCCTAAAAAAACTCGGGCTGGTCTCGGGTTGCTAGGGTTGAGCCCGCCCGAGTTGCACCCCTACACTCCACCATCCAAATGCTTCTACAGCCGAGGCTCAACACAAAGTTCAGATAGACATGAACTTTAAGACCAGCCAGCACTACAAGCCTATATTGAAACTCAAGCCCTCTCACAAGTTTGGTCCAAAGTGGCCTCTAATCGTCTCCTAAATGGTGCACCCAGAGCATAACCATTTCACTTTGTATTCCTCAAAATTTTAGTATATCATAACATTGATCCTTGACATACACACATGCATGTGCGCAAAAACACACAAAGAAAAAAATATCCATTAAGCTTTCATGAGAAGAATAACCATTCAACTGAGTGAAGTGAACCAATTCCCATAAAAAATAGAAGGGGAAAAAGTGATTGAGTGAAAGAATCAAACAGCATGCCAAATGAAACAGAGAATATGAAATAAAAATAAATAAATAAAAGAGAACAATGCTAATATATGTACAAAAATATTAGCATACATAGATATATATAATTCAACAATTCAGCCAGCAAAGAGAGCACTAACTTTAGTTGCAATCAAAGTAAGGCATGGAACACTACAGAGTAGCTAATAGTAATGAGGTGGACATCTAAGGCAAGGAGACAGCTATTTAGAAAACTTACTGACCTTGTCATCATCTTATAACAATTTATATACTCTTCTCCATAACCCCGCCGCTCCATGAGCTGCAAATAAAATCTGATAATAAAACTCCATACAGTTACCTCATATATTCATAAATTCAGAAAAATACTGTAACATCATTGGCTTAGTTGTTCTAACCCATTCAAACAGAAAAGTATTTAGTATAGGAATGCATATTCATCCCAACTACATTAACCTTGGAGGCCGATGGGGGACAGGTTTCAGATACAGGAAACAGTCTATGCTGGGAATAAATAATAAGCATTGATGATGAGAGTCTTTTTTTTCTTTTTAGGAGTTGTAATGATGACAACCGTTGGTACTTTTGAAACCATTGATTTACATTTTTCATAACATTATGAACAAGGAGACCCTCCGAGCCTAGGGCCCTCGTCTCAACCTAAAGGTAAGACTCGTGGAAGGGGTGAGAATAACTGATCACCTTTGCCTTTTTTTCGCACATGATACAGTGCAAAAGGTTTCATATTTCAAAATGGTGAAAGTCAATGCCACCAACTGCGTTCACTTTATTTGGCCACTGATGTTGTACGTAACTGAAGCAATTGTCATCAATATGAGCTGCTTGAGTTGAGCTCATTATGGAATTTGTTCAAGTGCTATAACCGTCGAAAATTGGATTAAAGCTTGAACTTGAACTTTGGGGCTTGTAATACAAATGATGTGATTCCAAGAACGCACAAGCTCTGTTGGTTTGGCCAGTGAACAAGTATAATATTTTTTGGCCTTTTTTTCTTTCAAGAGCATGTCTTAACAACCCTAAAACTGTCCTATGCAGGTGGTAGGGGGTACCACTCAAGCTATAACACCTTGTGGTGGTTCATGCCAATGTTGTTACCTTCAAAGAAAATTACATTCTCACACGATAAAAAGGCCAAATTAATATTACAAAAATAATACAGATGTTAACAAGATCTGACCAATGGTCTTCAAGCTTCTATGTAAACATGCAAACATCATTATTATAAATCAACCTTTCTCCTTTTTCTTTTTTTTTTTTTTTTTTTTTTTTGGTAAGTAGCCTTTCTCCTAATTTTGACTCAAGTCCTAAAAATTCTTTTGCTGAATCTAGACTGATGTAAAAACATTACAAATAGTTGGTTAGAACAAGGCTTTCTGGATAACTTAAAGCTATAGCTGACCCAAACCAGAAGAGAGAACTTTAGATAAGTTAGAGCTCAACCCAAGATTGACCATGCTGAAGCAGCACAATAATTGGTTCAAGTTGACTCGTCTGCAGCGCACCATATCAGCCCCCACCAAAGAAACCCAGGATTTGATACAAATGCAATGTGACTAATGATAGGGTTATGCGAATATATGGGCCTCGTACAACATTTTTGGACAAGGGGGCAAGGATTTAACTGCAATAGTGAGAATAAGAGTTGTTTCCATGATGGAGCTATGAGTCCCCTCCAAGGCTCCAAGCCATCCTAAGTGATGGTGAATCTTGCAAAAGTAAAATATCACTAACAATTCATGCTAATTATAAAATTATTGTACAATATGATTGCATTAGCAGATTTTATTGACAACATTTTTTTCCTATACAAGGTGCATGCAAATGGCAACCCATTTGAGTTGAGTCCAGTCCGTACAAATCAATAAAATCTCCTCCAAACCACGCACATCGCATATTCCTAAGGAGATCAAACCTGAGAAATCTGGTCCTTCCGCCCTCAACTTCACTTTTCATTTGGATTTTGTTTCATTGACTATATAAATAGTGTTGCCTTACCATCATAGAAGCTGTCAAAAGTTGCTCATTAAAACAAACAAACACAACAACAACAAAAACAAATAAAAAAATTCAACACCAAAACAACATGTCTAGATTGGAATGCAATACATGAAGAACATTGCTGGCTTTGTCATTCTTACGTCATTTATAATTTAAAGGTTGGTTAGCTTTAAACTTTCTCATTTGTAAATGTTAGCTTACCAATCTAAAGAAGCAATAAAAAGTTACATATACATTCCTACCATTTATTTCTGGATTCGAGAAAGTGGAGAACTGAAAGCCATAACAGAATCCAACAACCGAAAAGAAAAAAAACATAAACAGGATAGAGAGAGTAACCGTGGGATACCTTAAACAAATTTGCTTCTAGGTCAGATTGAGAGCTGCAGACCATTCAATTAATCCATTTAGTATCCAGAAGCACATGGAAAATTAACTTAAAAAAACACACACACAAATAGTAAAAGAAAGGGTGAGATATGATTGGCATACACATCAAGAAGGCTATTGTCTACGAGCAGCTTTTTGAGTTCAAGAGCAATATTAATGGCCACATGATTAGGAATCTGGAATAAAAAAAAAAATCATGATTCATTACTCAAACCCTTTTCAAAATCTTAGAATTCCAAAATTAAATAAGAAAATAATCTATGAATGTTAAAAGAAAGGTCAGAACATCAATAGGGTACAAACATAAGTGAGGCAGCTCCAGCGAAGTGTGAATTGAGCTTTGCAGTCAGTACAATTTAATAGGTCCACTACCCACATTCAACAATATTAAGGTGGACAAGCTCAATGCAAATCTTCCCCACCTCAAATTTTGTCCTTATTCATTTTCTACTCCTTGACAATCAAAAGTTCTCTCACATTGTCAAATTCATGCATTGGAGAAAGGATTAGTAAACTACACCCCAACACCAAAATGGGTGTTCCTCAATGAAATATAATAGATATAATATCCACAAACAACAGCTCCAGAAGACATAATAAACCTTAAGTAGTTACTGCACAAAGTTCTTACAGTATTCAACTTTCAAGTTGATATGGTGTATAGTATAGTAACAGATTATGTTCCTAGTTTCTAAAAAGAAAGAAATGCCTTCCACCAAAATTTTCTTACTTATTAATAATAATATTATCCAATATGGCATGTACTTTGTGAAGATAATTGGGAATTATCTTCTTGTTAACAACCAATACATATGCATGCAAAAACAAGTACACTCAAGCTCATATCTGATTAAAGAAAGAGCCGTTGAGGTGCTTAATTCAACGTAGCCATTGAAGCAAATATGTGGTTCACAGCAATTGGCAACGCAATTCAAAGTAATGGGGTACTTTTTTCACTGAAGGCCAAAAAAGGGTTTTTTTTTTCCCCTTTTAGTCCAATTGGGGCATTGCTTAATATTATAGTGTACTCGAAAAACATGACATTGTGTGTGTGAATACGGATACTACAATACGACAAAGCCTTTAAAAAAGAATAGGATATGGGTAGTTCTTGAAAACAATACATTTTTATAAATTCTAATATTATATTTATACATGAGCTCAAAGAATGGTTTACCATTAAGAATTATGTATTAGTTTAAGAGCCAATGGCCAACCATTACTTTTTTTTACTAAAGTTCTTAGAAAAATTCATTTCAATAACAAGTCTAAATTGTTTTTATTGCCCTTGTATTTTTTCCCTGTCATATTTGAATGTGTTATATGCAAAAGTACTGTACGCAAGTTTACTTGCCTATTTACTATCGAAATCCGATTTTTGTATCATCACATTTTATTATTTATGCTTACTTTCTAAAAAGCTATAGATATAGATATGAGATACATACATGACATATTCAGATACATTAATTCAATAAATTCTGAAAATGGGGTGCACTACTTTAATCTCATTAGTTTCTTCTTCTCTATTAGTATGCAAGAACTATAACAATGTCACTTTCAAAATAGTTCTGATATGTGACTTATCTTATAATTCTCATAATTAAAGAAAGTTCATGAACGCCTCGTTTGGAAACGGGCTATTTTAATAATTTTTTGGATAAGTGACTTATCTTATAATTCTCAAAATTAAAGAAAGTTCATGAACACCTGGCTATTTTTATAATTTTTTTGACTTTTTATGAAAAGATGCGAAAAAGAAATAAAGTGAGTTATGTGACATTTTGAGGGAGAGTTGTGAAACATAGGAAGATGAAGAATGAGAAGGGATTGGAAAAGAAATGGGGTTAGTTGTAGAGACCTTGGTGACAGTCAAGGTTCTACATAGGAGAAATCTGGAGAGGACGTAATAGTGATCGGCATTGTCGCCTAACCAAACTTTTACCTGAAACAACAACAACAACAATGACAGAGATTGACAAAAACAAGATCGAATCAATGAATTAACGAAATACCCAATTGTAAGACCTTGACGAAATCGTATTTGGAGGAACCATTTCGATTAGAGAATTTGACGGTTGGCCTTGGAAAGCCTCTGTGTCTCTCTTCTTCTTCTTCTTTACTATGTCCATCATGTTCGGCTATTACCACTCCCTTCTTCTTCATCTTCCTTCCCACAAAATAAATGCACTCTCTCTCTCTCTCTCGCTATGTGTGGAGATCCCAGACCAGACCATCAACAGTAAAAGTGGCAGGTGCCACGTGGAATAAAAAGAAAACATGGTGCTAGCCCGCACCAATGGAAAATGTTTGGGATCACAAAGGGGGACCCACAATTCATTGATGCATTAACTATTGATTTCTTTGAATTTTTTTTTTTATTTTTTTATTTTTTTTTTTATTTTTTATCATTGACGGGGACATGAATAGTCTAAATTATTTTAAGAGTTGTGAGATTGTATTTTATAGAGGTCCTATAATTACTACTGCACCAATGGATATAACAATGAGTACCATGCTATAACATTGCCATTTTCTCACTAATTTTACAAATTATAAAATCTTAAATAATTAAAATGATGTCGTTTTATCTATTAATACACTAATTAATATATCAATTGATACATGTAATTTTATCCAAAAGAAAATAAAAATATCATACCAAAGTTACATTATAAGAAAGTTCTATCATATATATCCTTTATCATATAAATTCTTAAGTTATGACCCTTTAGTTATGATGAATTTTTTCATTAGTTATAATTTTATTTTAGTTATGACTTATGAAATATTTGATTATGCCTCACGTGTTGTATAGTTATGAATTTTTTTAGTTATGACTCAGAAAATATGAAATTATATTATTTTTTTCTTTAATTATAAGGTGTATACAATACACATCTTTTTGAAGGGTGTGCACCATAATTTTTTTAAAAAAAATTATTCAATATGTTTTTATTTTCAATTTTAATAAAAATAAAAAAACTTGTGTAGTATACATATTTAAAAACAAAAAGAGAGTGAGAGATAGTGACGGAAAGTGAATTTTGACAGTTAAAAAGGATGACTAAAGATGGTGGTCAACCACTAAAGGAAATTGTTAGTTACTTGAGGTGGTTGGTTGGAAATTGTTAGCTACTTGAGGTGGTGATTGCAAGTTGTTGTCAATTGCTCAAAGTGGTGCCCAAAATGTCCGTCACCTTAGGTGGTTTTCAATTAAAAAGTGATTGTCGAATGTGGTTGTCAACCACTCGAAGTGATTGTCAATTACACTAAGATGTTGGTTGGAGGTTGTTGTCAGTAATTAAAGGTGATTTTCTGATAAAAGGTGATTGTTGCCAGTAGAAGGTGGTAAGTTGTGGCCAAAATTGATTGTTAGTCACAGTTTATGAAGTATGGGTATTTTGAAAAATATTGTCGTACTCATACTGATAGGGTTACGTGCATACTAGGTACTCAAAATACTCACTGGGTACTTTTTATATATTTTTTGACAATTGGGGTACTTCATGAGTACATTAGGAGTACACCAAGTTATGGAACATTAGTAAGGATACATTCAATGATAAAGTTGATGGAAGTGAAAATTAAAGTTTCAAATTTTTTAAATCTTGCTTAGCTTCCTTTTGGAATGAAATTTTAGTTTGCAAGTTCTCATATTTAATGGCATTAAAATAGCTTATAGACTTTGCTTTGGCATTGGTATTAGTATTGGTATTGGTATTATTGCACTATGATTGCTCTTTTGGTTTTGTAATTTCTCCTTTTAATTTTGGTGTTGAACTTTGATTTATAGATTGGGTTTCAAACTATAAATTATAAAAAAATAAATAAAATTATTGATGTACCCCAGCTGTATTCGTATCCTATTTTTTAAAAGTTTTTTCATATCGACGTACCTGTATCATACACATACTAGTATCGTACCCACACCTGTGCTTCATAGGTCATAAGAGGTAGTGGTCGAAGGTGGTAACTGAAGATGTTTGTTGCTAGTGAAAGGTAGTTGGTGGGAGTCAAAGATGGTTGCCAACTGTGAGAAAGGTAGTGGTCAAGGTGGTTGCCAGAAGAGTTTGTCGGCAATGGTAGGCAATGGTAGTAACAAGCAAAGAGCGATGGTGGGCCAAAATAGAAGGAAGAAGGAAGAAAGATTAAAAAAAATTCTAAACAAATAAAATCAATTTTTTTACAAGTTTTTAAAAATAAAAATATACACAAAACGTGTTTTTTTTAATATTTTTTTATATAATTCTCAAATCTTTTCTTAATATAAAGAGCAAGTTGTGAATATAAATGTTACCAAACATAAACAAATTATAAAATGATTATTAAAATTTTAAGTATTTAATGTTAGGTTTTTTGTAATTGGCAATCCCATTAGACAAAACTTCATTCAGATGTAATTGCTGCATTCACCTTTTTATATTTGTGAGTTTGTGAGAGTTTATAAGCGAATCCAATCCAATTTGTGCCTGAGTGAAGGAAATGTGTGCTTGAGCAGAGGAGTTATTGAGCCTGTCAAACTTCTTGGATCGTTCGAGCGGTCAAGTGTGCGCTAAAGTGTTGATTAAGAGCATCAAATATTTCAGTCTAAGCTCTAAGATACTAAGAATTGTATTTTACCGCTCGAGCGGTAAGTCTTGTGCTCGAGCGAAGTGGCATGTGGAAGTTTGTTAGCATTGCATTTCAGACACACCACTCAAGCGATCATTCATTCGCTCAAGTGATTATTCTGACTCTAAATCTTTTAAACAACTTCAATTGCGTCTTGAGAGCTTAACCCTTCCATAATTCTTAGAGTGGAGATAAGCGAAAGTGTTCTATATTGACAGGTATTTATATATTGTTTTACCTTGATGAATTGAGGATGATCGATGGATCAATGGATTTCATATTGACAATCATCAAGGGATTTCTTTTGTTTAATTCAAATTCAAAGAGATGTTCATCGGTGGATTTCATGAAATTTGAGTTTGAGATTTTGGTGGATTTCGGAGTAACTCATTTTCATGGATTCAATATCAGTGTTGTAGATTCAATGTTGGGAAAGTAATTCCGAAGTGAAGACGGTGGTAGAAGAGGCACAGCGGGTGTAGTTCAATTTGAGTGTAGATTCGTTAAGTAATTGAGAGTTCTTGTGTGTAATTCCTTTTGTCTTTGTAATGGATTATTTTGTGATTTTGGCTTGTAGTTTTTTATTACAATTGGAAGTATTCCAATTGTGATTTTTTCTACGTTATATCGTTGTGTTGATTTGTCATTGTGTGTTTGTAGATATGATTCAATTCTAGATTAATTGGATTAGATCAATGATTGTTTGATTAGGAATTGTTATTCATTATTAAAAATTGAATCCTAATTGCAAATCATATCTCAAAGGTTTTTAAGATTTTCATTTAAGTTCTGTAAAATTTAATTTGACATAAGTTCGAGTAAAAAAAATTAAAAGAATTTTGAGTGTTTTTTACTTAAATTTAAATTTGATATTGGTTTGGATCAATTGTTTGAAATTGCCTTAAACTCACTTTTTTTTTCACCTCTAGTTACATTGTAAAAATATCTCATTATGTCCCCTTTTTTTTTTATTCTCCTAAACTCTAAAAGTTTAAGATTAACCCTATCCATTCTTTTCTCATTACCTCTACTAGTCCACTACTATTGTTGTCTCTCTGCCTTCCCTTCCAGAGAGGCATAGAGACCGAGAGAGGTTTGGAATCGGAAAAGATGAAAATGATTTGTTAGAGAGAGAGAGAGGTTTGGAATCTGAAAAGATGAAATTGAGATTGTGACAAACCTGTTTCCATGGCAGTATACAACACAAGGTAAAGGAGTGTCCTCTGGGAAAGGTGAACCCACATAATGACTGCATTACAAGGTGTGGCCTCTTTGATTCCTTAGCTGCAAATTTGAAATAATACATAGTCTGCGAAGCTTAAACCATAATAAATATGAAACAAAATGTGTATTGCAAATAGGTAGTGGCAATGGAAGTTGAAAGTTTGGTAATGGATGTCCATACTTGCCTCAAGGTCCTGTCTTTTGTACTTTGTGCCCGCAAGAGTAAAATCCTCTTCCCATAAATACTAATCTGGATTATAATCCGCCCTGGATGTCCAGCGTATAGATGGAACAACAAATACAAGGAAGATTAAACATTGAGAAACACTAGCAAAAGCTCATAGATGTTGCATAACATTAAGGTACAAGTTAATCACATGAGAATGTGAGGCACCGCCATTTAATGTATGAGATGAGAGAAGTGGTCAATCTAATCAGCTATTTGCAAAGATTAATGACTAATTTGTTCCAGTCAATTGGTCCTATTGTACAAGGACCACTTGAAAGAATGTTTATTGGGGTAGTAAGAAAACCTGAAGCCTTAAATAAAGCAACTTGGGAGAATCTTTTTGGGTTAATTTCACTTTACTCCCATGTGGTTTACCTTGAAAACACATACACTCTTTGAACTTCAAAAGCAACACTTAAACCCTGTGTTCATGACTAAAAAAAGAAATAATCATTTTTTTTCAATGCATTTTAACAGAGAGAGTAATGCACACATACTTAGAAATTGACTGAATGATTGGACAACAGTTTTTCCACCATATTGAATAAATAAAAGGACAATATTACCCTTGTTATACCAGGCCATGGAGTTGCAGTATCACTGTCTGCAACTTTTTTTTCATTATAATTTAAGCATATAGTTGTGATGAGGATGAAAACGGCAATTACAATGTGCATATTACAAAGGAGCAGTATCGAGCAATGATTGGAAAACACATTCAGAAGAACAAGAAGAGGCTCAATGATTCATTTACAAGTCCTAAAAATTAGTTCCAAGGTTTCAAAATTGGGAAATGAGCTTCAAGGTGGGTAACATAAAATTGAATCAACACCAGATCTTCTCAAATTGGGGTGACCACCTATGTTTTGGCAGTTTGTATATGTTTAATAGACTTAAATTCATGTAGGTAATTTAATCTTTTTACAGACCCTCCAACAAACTACATTGGTTTAGTTCCAATAAAATGTGAAAATGCTTGCATGTATGAGATAAAAATCACAAGCATTGGTTGTACTTGACTGCAAATGAGATGGACAATCCACATGTTTGACAAACCAAACGAAAACTCAGTGTATACTCCATTCATGAATCTATCAAACATCCTACTATCCCCTAAATTCTGCTTCCTAGATGTCCAACATATAGATGGAACAACAAATACAAGGAAGATTAAACATTGAGAAA